GCGGAAAGAATCTGTTTCAGATTTACGGTCATGCATCAGATATAAGTTGACAATAAAAATAACAAATTCATTGGTTACAGTAACTTGTTTTATGAAAGATGAAGCTAGTTTAAGAATACGTTCAGTTAAGAATTCAGTTGAAGATAGTATGTGAGCATCGAGAGTAGAAAACCATGGCGGTAAGCGGTAACAAATTTTCAACGCGGCACTCTGTACACGTTGGAGTTTGGTCCAACTATAGTCCGAGATACATAGAAGAGTTGGAGAAGAGTATGTTAAGAGGGGACGAACGAAAGTGTTAAATACAAACACAGCAGTGTGAGGGTAAAGTCCCCAACGCCTGCCACACACACTTTTTAAGGCTCCGAGTCTCTTTCGGGCACGCAGACACACGTCATCCACATGACGAGAGAGCGACATACATTGTTCCAAAGTAAAACCCAGACATTTAAAATGCTTAACTTGCTCTAATACATGGTTATTCATCAGCAGATTCAATTTTGCGTTTCTGTCCGCTGGACATTTCGTAAAAGACATGCATACAGTTTTAGCATAACTTATTTGAAGACGCCAAAGTTTGCAATATTCACGGAGTTTATCACAAAAGAATTGTAACATTTTCTCTCCCTGTACAATGTTTTTAATAATAACTGTGTGGTATCAACTTTCGAGGCATTCGTTACGTGATATCAAAGTATTGGTCACCTTCATGATTAATGGAAAACAGACTTTGACTAGCAAGATGTTTTCGAATCTTCCAGTGTTGTAAATTGACTTTGACTTAAACAAAGTAAAGAAATGTATCCGAGAGCATACATATAAAAAGACTCATCAGAGCGACCAATGACTAGTGAATATGTGCAAATTAGATGTTGCGTTTGTGCCAAATAATGTCGGTATGACCTGTCATCGTTAAAATGTGGCATATTGCTAAGGCTGAAAATCGAACATCCTTTTCTTTCACTGAATGCTGAATGTTGAAAGTTCTTAAAAACAGGACGCCTTTCTTGAGATAAAATATCTGACATTTTAACATTCAGCCATGGTGCCGATTGAATATTGGCTTTCATTCGAGAATAATCTTGTTTGTTTTGTTTAAACTTTATTTCATAAAAGTAAAAAGAAAAGTAAAAGAAAGCTAGTAGGATCCAGGATGGAATCGACTAATCATTGTACCATTCGTGGAAGCCTAATGTTGAAGCAAATAAGCAGTAAAAAGAGCAAGAAAAACGTTAGAACAAAACGAAACACATAAATTGAATGCGGAAGGGTGTGGTACAACAAAGAAAAAGTATACACTTTTAAATATCGAATCTTAAAGATTCCTCTATATAACATATAACTGCACGATAGATAACAGAGTAATGATCCTTGCACAGTTCCTTATGAAGAAGTAGCAGAGTCTTAAGAGAACAATCCGCGCTGGGTATCGAATCTTCTATGGATTTAAAAAGTTTAGCTCGCTGACTGGCATAGAGAGAACAGTCTAGTAAATGGTGCTTCACTGTTTCTCTCTCACCGCATAAACAGTTTTTATCAGGTACTAGTGTTTTGATATACAAATCGTTGTTCAGTGACGAGAAACCACAACGCATTTGGTAGTATATTTTGTCTACTGCGCGTTTAACGCCATACACGCGAAAACTCTTTAGAGTGTCTATAGTTGTTTTTAGTTTTGTTCTGAAGGTTTTTAAACTATTACATAGGCGCATTTCTTTACTTAATTCATTCCAGCTCTTAACAGCGGTAGGAAAGAATGTGTTTTCAAATCTCTTGCTATGAAAACGCTTATTCATGACCCAACTGCCTTGAATTTTATTCTCCACTTGCGATCTAGTCTGATGAATACTACTATACTTATGAACAGAAAATTTCTCGACTAGATAGTTGGGAGCTAAGCCTTTTACTATCTTAAACATGAGTATGATTTTTTGATGTTCAAAAGTTTCTAGCATGTCCTGCCATCCTAGGACTTGCAAGATTTTTTTCCTGCTAGTTAATCTTAAGCATCCGCTCACAGCTAAGGCAAACTTATATTGAAGAGTAGAGATTAATGACAAATTCTTCGCAGTAGTGGCTGAGTAAACGCTCGAACCGTACAGTATTATAGGATAAACATAACATTTATAGATTTGATCTAATACAGTCGTTTGAAACTTACTCTTGTATTAGTATGTTAGATGTAAGATCCTATTACATCGCGCGACTACGTATTCTATATGTTTGCGCCAATTTAATTGCAGCGTCAAGAAAAAACCTAAATGTTTATGACTTTCCACATCCGAAAGAGAAACTCCATTTATTACGATCGGATACTGAGAAGTGTCTACTAAACGTTTACTAAAGGTTATTGGCTCGCATTTTTTAACGTTCAAATCTAACTGCCAAAGTACCGACCGGTCATGCACAAGTTTCAGATTTTCATTTAACATATCAGTAGCGATTTTTAGCGATTTGTGTGTTACGTGTAGTAGAACATCATCAGCAAAGAGGCGAGCTGTGGATTTTAAATTCAAAACAATGTCGTCTATATAAATAAGGAACAACAGGGGCCCAAGGATGGATCCCTGTGGAACTCCACGATTAATTTTCCTTCTACTTGAGCTAGTGCCATTTATTTTTGTTTCAATCGTTCGGTCAGGAAGATAAGAGGAGAACCATTTCAACATGCTACTTGAAACGCCTTTTTGCTTAAGTTTTATAAAGTAAACCTGCATGTCAGACTGAATCGAAAGCCTTTTTGAAATCTAAAAATATACCTCTAGTTAGTTGATCGTCTTCCATCCCTAACTCGACTGCGTGCACAAAGTCTATTAACTGATTCACTGTAGAATCACGATGGCGAAAACCAGACTGTAACGGCGTTAGTAAATTATTCTTAGTTAGGTAATTGTACAGACGCGAATAGACTACTCTTTCTAAAGGTTTTGAAAATACATGAAGTAAAGTAACAGGACGATAGTTATTTGGTAACCAGTGTTCCCCACTTTTATAAAGCGGAGTTATTTGTCCTACTTTAAATGCGGATGGAAACTGCTCTTCTAAAAACGACTGATTGTATATATCAGCTAGCGCCCCATTGATAATATCACTAGACTCTTTCACCATTCTAATGGTAACATCAGAGCTAGTAGCTTTATTGGACTTTGTTTTCCGCAATATTCGCTCTATTTCATCTGGACAAATTTTTTCCTTAATATCGAACTTTTGTTGAGTCATAGGGAGAATGTCAAAAGGAATACTCCTGCGCTCATCTCTTTCGCTCATGGTGCAAATCGACGCGAAGTGTACATTTAAAAGCTCAGCTTTGTTAAAATCTTCGTAAATCCAATCTCCTTTTGTGTTTTTCAATACAGGTATTTCGTTTTGTTTACTCCGGCACAGCGCATGGCTTAATAATTTGTACCACGACAAAGAAGAATTAGATTGCTGATGGTTAATGCGATCATAGAACTTTTGCATCGCAGTATTGCAGCTTTTTCCAAAACAACGCGCGGCATCCTCATATTTATTCTTATTCGCATCAGTTTGTTTATTTTTATATCTTGCGAAGAATCGGTTTCGTGTCTTACGCATATGTCTTAGATTTTTCGTAAACCACAGTTTATCACGTGGATTAATGATTATCGTTTTATTTGGAATAGCTACATCTGCTGCACCTAGAATGTCTTTCGAAAGTTTTTCTGCCTTGTCATTGAGCGTATTAAAGCACTTGCCAGAATAAGAAGAGAGATTTTGAGACATTAAATAACGAAAGTAGCTCCAGTCCGTAGCTTTATAGTTGAAAATTTTCCGTCGAGAAAGACTTTTCTGATCATGATTTAATGATAGGACGATATGTAAAACACAATGACCGCAAGAGCGAATTAGCGGCGGTAACATAGAAACAGTTTTCACTAAAGACAGATTACTGGTACCAAACAAATCTAAAATAGCGTTCGATGAAGGCCTTGTGACTGCATTTACTAATTGAGTGGTGCCTAAACTATCAAAAAGATCGTATATTTTTTCTCCTTCACGTGTGGTAGGCTTAGTAGGACACCACGTATGATTATGAGCATTGAAATCACCTGTAATAAAAAATCCATCATATTCCGAAATATCTATATTGAGAGAAAGAGTATCATAAATAAAGTTACAAAAAGTTTCTAATTCCTCAATAGAAGAATCCGGTCTATATCCTACAACTAATAAAACTTTCTTTTTGTTAGTTAGTATTATTTTCAGAAATAAAACTTCTAAATCAACATATTCAAGACTTATCAAGCCCGTGACGACTATGTCTTGTCTGATATACACTAGAATTCCTTCACCCCTCTGATTCAGGCGATCTTTTCTATAAATATTATAGTTCGGTATTTGAATTTCTACATTTTCTGTCTGAGGTTTTAACCAGGACTCAAAAATAGATACAACTAAGGGATTTTCAGCTTTGCATAGTTCACTAATAAAGTATAATTTTTTTACGTTACTATTTTTACGTGATTCTGACAAAATACTTCTAATGTTAAGCGAATAAATACTACTTGTACCCTCCATGTCGTCAGTAGCTGACGTATTATTTTTGTTAACCATTGTCAATTTGTATGGTTCGATACCTAAGCTAAGCTATTCTCTTAAAGATAGATTACGTAAAAGCGAATAGAAGAACATTTTTCTCTCACTCAATGATGAAGTACATAAACACAGAAAGAACAGACAAGGAAAAAGAACGAAACTAAACAGAAAAAGTAACATGTTCGCATATCCATAGTATATACACTTGTCAGAAAACATAGACTACTATCCATACCAAAATACAGTGCCGGGTGCCACTTTTTGAATAACTTCTGACAGGAGATAGGTAGAGACTTGCGGTTTTCAAGTAGTCAATGTAGTAGCAGTAGAAAAAGAAAACGAAACAAGCAATGAACTTCGATCAACGCAACAATCTTAACTATCTATCTAAGAAGACGCATTCAATGACCTAACGCAAACTAAAAGTAAAAAAAACTACTTAACTAAGTGCTTGTCGGTAACTGTTCAATATCTTGTAATGATTTTAAATAAACACATTGGTTTTCATCTTTCCGATAAAGAACACGACCACTTGATGTATATAGTTTAGAACGATCATTTTTCGAAATTTGCTGACGTGCTCTTGTGAATATTTTTGCATTTTTTCTTGAAAGATCTTCGGATAGAATTGTATTTCTCGTAGGGTGATCAGTTGGCAATTTTCTAAAGTTTTGTTTATACGACAGAAATTGAAAACGACGAGAACGAGAGTACAAACGAGCAATAAGAACCGGTGGCAATGCAGATGTTGACGATGTATCGGATTTTGGAAAGATTCTATGCGCCGTTTCGATTTCATTATAATGTAGTTTGAATCCAATATCGTGAGCTATGTTCCTTGTGATTTGAATAGCGTCTTCCTCTTTACGATATGGTACATTCATCAATCTGACATTATATGATCGATTATATCGTTCAGCTTCATCCAAACGATCGTCCATATCCGAGATCTGCTCTTCCAATAACATAAAACGTTGATTTAGTCGCTCTAATAAAGCAGGCTCTAATAGGTCTACGATTTTAGATAAATAAGGGTTTAAATCAACTTCTGAATCAGTTGTTGTTGACGTTATTGTAATAGCTAATTGTTTTTTAATAGTCTCATCGTTTTGAAGTAAATCCGTTAATTCTTCCCGTAAATTAAATGCAGATGGTAATGATGTTAATCTTTGTCCTGATACTTGTTTTCTATGTGCTTGCAACGTCATAATTGGGTTTGATAATTTGTACTTATAAAGCAACAGTACTTGTGTATATAGCTACGTATATTTACTTCTTTTACTTTTTCAAAGACATGTGCACATCATGAAGAAAAGAAGAGGAATGATCTAATCTTGCACCAGATGACATGCTGATAATTCGAATGAATCCAAATCTAAAATAAATAAACTAAGAGAAAAAACACTTACGTGGCTGATTTCCTGAATACTACATTTGTCTTTCGCGTCTGACTAACTACACTCTTCTTTATTTTTTAACTAGAACGAATAGTACTACAAGATATACGCATATTATATACATACGTGTGCTTGGCTTGAAAAGTTTTTTATTCTCTTACAAAGTGGACGAAAACTTTCACAAATATCTCTATTCACTCAGAAGGAACAGTAATTTTAGATCGAATACGAAAAGTACAACAATGCTCTTTTTGTTTATTGACATCATGATGATAGGAAGAAGAAAGAATCTTCCATAAGTAGAAATTATGTTTGTAAATCGGTATTAACAGTGATTTTAATAAGATCTTTGATTACTTGCTATCTTGTAGTTCTGGGTGTTTATTCAAAACTAGTAACTAAACGTTTCGAGATTGATTCAATCTCTTCATCAGTAGTATTTTTTTTCTTTTTTAAGAAGAGATTGAATCGTTTAGTTACTAGTTTTTAATAAACACCCAGAACTACAAGATAGCAAGTGATCAAAAATTTTATTGAAATGTCGCTAATTCCTGTAACAAGAACAGCAACTACTCATTTATTTAGAACATTGATTTTTCGATTCGTACGATATCTGTCACAAGCGTTCGTCAGAATCATAAAAAAGATTATACTTTTACAGAAGAAAAAAGATGAAAACTGACGAGAGAACATTCTTAAGTGATCGGCACTTTATATCCAAAACACAGTCAGATATACTAAACCAGATATGCCTCCGTGTGGGTCAGAGATCAGCTGCCATAAATCTTTTGCCTGGATGGCTTGAGAAAAAATTAATTTATTCTATGTGTTTCTCAACTGGATTAGTCTGAAGTCGAATATCAATTGAATTTTTCACTTTATCAGTTTATTGGTTATCATTTGACTCAGAAGGGAACCTTTTGAGGTGATTAAACGCTTTTTGCTCGAAATCTAGTGGGTTATAGATTATCGACCATGCTGATTACGAACATGACCATGGAGTTTGCCCTTCGAAGACCTGGTTTTCTAGAAAACCAGTTTTTCAGAAACTCGAACCTTTCTTAATGAGACACGATTGTAGCCCGCACCTTTCTGATTGAAATGAGACATCTCCCAGCTTTATACGACCTTTTTTTACACAGTTATAGACTTTACAAGAAAAGCCTTAAATGTTCATTGTCAGCTCAAAGTGACAGAAATAAGAAATTTATTTAGGGCTTTTCTTGTGAATTCTATAGCTTTGCAAAGAAAGGTCGTGTAAAGCTGGCAGATGTCTCATTTTAATTAGAAATGTGCGGGCTACAATCATGCCTCATTACGAAAGGTTCAGGTTATATTTTAGAGTTTCTGAAAAACTGGTTTTCTAGAAAACCAGGTCTTTGAAGGGCTAAGGGCACTCCCCATGGTCATATTCGTAATCAGCATGATCGATAACCTATAACCCACTAGATTTCGAGCAAAAGGCGTTTAATCACTTCGAAAGATTCCCTCGTCAGCTTTTCATGTTGATTCTGAATAATACATTCATTTTGTTCGTTAAGAAGAATATGAAGGTCAAAATTATTAAATACGAGCAAATTTTAGATTAATTTGCAAAGCGGAATATTATCATAGTCTAGTAGGGAGTATTCAAAACAGAAGTAATAGACAAACCTTTAACTCCAAAATTAATCACATATCATTCTCATACTTAAGTTTCACTGTTAATTCGAAAAAGAATTGCTTATCGAATGTAGAAGATAAATCTAAGTCGAAAATTTTTTTAATTTTTCGGATATTGAGATCATTCTACTCATTGAAGTTGTTCGAGAGGAAGAAAATTTTTTAAAAATAAAAAGTTACATATTCGTCATTGGCGTCCAATTTAGTATCGAATGATTTTTAATACATAAGAAAAACAAAAGCTTAGTTGAACATCGAAGTAGCTACGGCTTATTTCGGTCTCGATTTTCAATAGTTAGAAAAAAAAGCAAACTTTTATTTTCGAGAGAGAAACTTTTATTTCTGAGAGATTTGAAAGTGTATAAAATATTCTTGTTGGTTTTGCTTATTTTTAGCCCATTAGCTCAGCCATTTCTCATCTTGCATTTTGATCGTTTTCGATGAAGTGAAAATTCAATTTCAATGTTATTGTGAAATAAAATCCAATTCTATGATGACAAGTGAATGATAAAGAAACCATTCGAAAATTTGTCGATCAGATTCATGTTCGATTTCGTCTTTTCATCTCAGAAATAATTGGAGATTGAAACGTGAATATTTTCAATTGGATTCTTTCTGTTAATCAAACGATACAAAGAAAATGAGAATAGTTTGATTTTGACTTCAGATACATCGCCATCAGAAAACAGATCGATCATTCTAACTTCATTCATACGACACGATAGTGAGTGAGCAATTAAAAAAGTCTGGAGTAATTTCTTCGATGCTTGATAAACTTTAAAAATTATTGCTAGATCCTATGAAAACTAGGCGATTATAAATCTCTGTTGAGTCTTTGTTGCATTCTATCTTGGTAATAACATCTGATAGACAGTTCGCTTCGCTTAGATAATAAGATCAGGTTTGTCCGATCTGTGATGATACAAGGGGCACTCTTTCTTCTTCAAAAGTCTTTTCGCCAGCCTTTAGACAAATATTCCAAGACTTGTTCTAGTGTGGTTTTTCGAAGTACTGTTCATCAGCATCAATGCACTTGTGCATTCGAATAAATCAGTCGTCGAAGCAGTTTTTGAAATCATCTTTTGTGAGACTGTCAATGGTTTGTTCTAGGACGACCAGAACGGACAGCATCTTCAACACTGAAATTACTGCGTTGAAATTCATGATACCAATTGAGAATTGTACGATCAGAAGGTGCTTGGTCCCTCCATGCTTGCACATGTTATTTATTCAATCATTTGTAAAAACGTCGTCAATGTGTGTTGATAAGATGAAACTGATTATTTGTGATATACCAAATAGTTATGATTTTCTGAAAGATGAATAAAAACAAAATTTTTTTAAAAAGTTATCAAAACAAGTTAGTATGGTAGAATTGTCCGCAGCACTGGATGTCTGGACGATTGATAGCATTCAAAAAAATCTTACGTTCAAATTTTGGTATTTTATTTTACATTCAGTATTAGAACCATTAACCCGTTCATTCCCAAATTTTGGTTGAGTTAAATTTATTTATAAGTCGTGAACGACGCAAGATATTAACATGCGGTTTTCATTAAAGGATCTCTGAAAAACCACTTCGTATCTCTCAAAACTAAAACTGCAATCTATCGTTTTTTTTCAGATGTAGATAGTCCAAAGTGTCCTGTTTAATATGGAAATTAGAAATTAAGCGAACTCTTAGTTGTTTGTGGGTTTAGGCGTGGCATCGGATTTCCTCGAAGCCCCAGGATCAATATTGCTTTAGATGTGGTAATCTCAAAGATGAATGGAAACATAGGTAATCGACTACGGTGAATCTTCTGGCAACATTTGTGTTACAAAACAGTTCCAGAAACCTAGTGAAAACGTATATGAGGTGAAGTAACCCATTTTTGCCTATTTATTTATTTATTGCTGTAGAGCTTTTCAGTCAAATCGACCCATCGTCAGTACATCTTTAAAAATATTTACAATCAAAAATTAGTTTACATTTACGTGTGAAACAAGTAGTTATTACATAAAAACATGGAATAGTTAGAAAGCATTCGAATCAATTACATTTCATTCGAAAACATTTTTTTGTGATAATCCACAGAACATTTGGGATGCAATGCGACCGCACAGCCTAGACATTGATAGTTGGTAGCTATCTGGCAATGTTTGCAACGACTCTGAGTATCCTCTAGTTTCGGCAAGTGAAATAAAACCTTTGTAGAGATAGTTGAAGTCGATCGAGTTGAAGGGCGACCGCGAACAGATCTATTTCGAAAACTTGTCAAATCCTTCGCAATTAACTTTTGAAAAGCTAAAACGTCTATCTTCTTCCCAAAGCTTTTGTTGTGAAGTATTGAGGCATTTCTCATAGTTGCCAATAAAATCCAAGTAAAAAGACCAAACCACCACTTTTTTTCTTTTATTCCAATTTTATATTTAGATAGGAAAAAGTCCATTGAGTCAGTACCAAGCATGCTTTGGTTGTAGGCTTGAATTAGTCGTGGCATAGGAATATCAACTTTTCCCTTTGCTATTTTCGAATAACGTCGTGTTGTCTCTGTTTCTCCCACTGGAAAAATATTTGACCCAACTGTTACCACGTTATTGTCATTCCATGTAACTACCAAAATATCATCTCCGGTTACAGTCTTTTTGCAGAAACTCTCAGATGAACCTCTTGGTGTTTTGTCAAATTTTTCACTGAAGGGACAATTTTTGAGACGATTGCTTCTAAATGTTCTAACAGCTCTCATGTTCATTTCCGTCAACTTTTCAACTAGTTTTAAAGTTGTAAAGAAGTTGTCAATGAGAGCTACCCCGGGATAATCTAACTTTTCGACTAAATATAGAATTGTTCCGCCTCCTAAACCGTATTCTGCGTACTTCTTGTACCCACTATTCTTTCCTTGATATGGATCAGACCATACTAAATATCCATCTGGTTGGTACAAACAAAATATTTTAAAACCAAAACGTATACGTTTCTGTCTCATTGCTTGCTTTGAAGAACGTCGACCAAAATATTCACTCATTGACTCATCAATATCAAAATAATTTGTATGACAAACAGCGAGATGTCGGAACTTTGCATTTAGTTTGTCAAAAATGGGCCTAATCTTGTAGAACTTGTCGTTTGGGTCAATCTTTGAATTATCCGCAACATGGAAGTAACGCATCAAATTCAAATCTATTTCTTGCCATTGCTTCCGAGATTTCCTGATTATGAGTTGACCTGTCGTTGCTCCAGTAGTCATGTCTATGACATGTTTTGCTGTAGCTGCTGATAAGCAATATCTCCCAAAACACTTGCATTTCATTTACATCTACACTAAAACTGTCGTTTTCATTTTGTTTTGCATAAAGTATTGTGTGTTCAACTAAATATTCAAGTAAGTTGTCATCAAAGAACCAGGAAAATACTTAGAATGGGGTAATATCAGGTTCGTCTGAATGATTTGGTTTCACATTCCTTTCCTTTCCTTTCTTTGAAATGAACTTTAAAATCCGGTCTGTGACTAAGTCTCGTTTCTCCCAAATAACAGGTTCATTTGTAACAACTTGTTCAGGAATATTTGTAGGTTCAATAAAAAACTTTCCGTTCGGGTTTGTTTTTTTTAAGCTAGACACCTAACTACATGGTCTGACGGGCACCGATTTTTCAATTGCGCCTTTATTGGTTTTCCAGGAAACCAACAACTTCCAAAACCCTAAAACTCCTTCCGGATTTTCTATAAATCCTTAATTTGATAAAAAAACTCAGACCTGATTCAAAACTCGGCGCCGGTCAGACGATGCAGTTTCTTTTTCTCTTTTAAACAAAAAAGGAATAAACTCTCTATGACAAACCGCTATAAAAAATCTTGGGAAATACTTCAGGTGTAACTCTTATATAGAGAAAACGCTGTATTAAACGCTGTAGGGAATACTCAATTTTAGAACTTCTCGGAAAATGAAGGAAGGAAGAATTAACGAAATTTTAAGCTCGATTGAATCAGCAAGCGAGGATAAGGATAATACTGGAGGGTACCAAACGCAAAAAGGTCGATCAGCATTGCGACACGAAGACTTTTAGATCGACTTCTTCATTTGATAATAATTCACCGAATCTTGGACCTAATAATCGAAAACAAGTAGCCACTATATTGAAACTCTCAGAAACGGTTACATTTGAGTTTTCAAATAATTTCATCACTTTAGTGATTGATGCCATAGAAGAGCTAGGTTGAAATGTTTCCTTGCATTTATCGGTCAGTTCTGTTAAAGCTAGAATATTATTTCTAGAATATCATATACGCTCCTTGTTTTGTTCAGTACTATGCAATGATTTCAATGGTCGATGAAAATTTAATTTAATTAGTGCTGAGGCAACTGGAAATAAAAAAATGACAATGTCGCCGGTTTATAGAAGACAACATTTCCGGCGTGGTGGATAGCACAATCTTCAGCATTATGTCAGAAACTGAGCAAAACACAACAATTATTCAACGACGTTGACGTAAACAATGAAACAGAAGATAAAAATTATCGTAGCAGTGACTTAGAAAAACTTAGTCAATGCACAGCTGAAAAGCGTGCACAACTGAATCATCCACCGTTTGAAACACAGGTAGAACTTGTCTTGTAGTAGTCCACTTAAGACGTACGATGACGAACACAAAGTGGAACCATTTGAAGTTTGTATATATTTTGGTTTTCTTTTCGTTTTGCTTTAACATTCGTGAGGAAAAGAAGATGCTGTTCACTACTTTCAATTTGCAGATTTTCAATTTTTCTTCTGTTTTAGCCATTTGATCTATATTCGCAGCCCTCTAATGATGATATTTTAGTTGATGATTGTCTTTGTTTGTCTCCAGCAATTGATATGCAAAGTAAAATGCTTAGTATTTTAAAAATTTCATCTAAAATTTTTCAATAATTTTTTGATTATGAAAACATTTATCTGATGATAAGCGATTAAGTGGTAGTCTATTCAATAGTCCAGCATTTTTGAGTAGTTTGTACGCTAAAATCCTCTGGAATCAAAGTTTCCCACGCCTTGCAGTTTTCTCTCCCTTTTTTTAGAGCAAATAATAAAGAAAGTGAAGGAATCAAAGCAGCTGAAGAAAATTCTCCGATTTTGAACAAGTAAGTCAAACAAATCACAAGGTTGTCGCTATCATAGATACTTGTCTTTCAGAGTCACTCTATTAGAAAATGCGATTTATTTGTTTGTAATCTACCATGGTACACAACCGTCTCTCAGATTCGTCGCATATTCAGAAGATATGGCTATTTGAAAGTAAGATTAATGACTGTCTACAAATATCAACAACAATCAAGTGGCATGGCATTTTTGACATATCGGACGAGAGAAAGCGTCGATGAAGTGATGTGTGTTCATTGTAATAATCCAATACAATATGAAGGGAGAATGCTTAGACAGAAGCAGTGGCTGGATAATAAATTTGATTATCATGATAAACTGATCGTATCCAATGCTATTATTGTAAAATTCAATCATGATGTTACTGAAGACCAAATTCGACGTATATTTACTCAATTTGGACGAATCAAATCAATTGAGCATAATTACACGTCATTGTCAGCCGTAATAACATTTGTATATAGTTATTCGGTTGATAAAGTATTGTTATCAATGCCATTAAATTCAAATTATTAATGTCACACAAATTGAAAAACGAATTGATTTATTTTCAAAAACAGAAGAACGTTACGAAAGTAAAAGAAGAGACATTGAAAAAGCGCAAAAGAAACGCAGATGCGTGCACAATAGAAGATAAACATTTTATTTTTGTTTATTTGTCTTTTTATACGTTTTCTGTACAAATAAAAGTTTGATTTTATTACCGTTTAGTCGTGCATTGCATAAATTAAAGTCGATAACCGATGTTTCATCCATTTCTGACAATCCCAAACCCGACGACAGTGGAGTGCTAAGGCTTCAAGAAAAATGTCTATAGCTCCCGAACCATGGATTGTCAAGATGTTCCTCAGATCCAGTTTTGTAGAGGACACTTCGGACTATATATGTATGAAAAAACCCATAGATTTCTACATCAGTTTCCAAAGAACCGATCTGGTTTTCCATAGATTTCCTAAAAACCGGTCTTCGAAATTTTTCCCAAATTCGTTTTAGCATATGAAAACAGAGCTTCAGATCTTGTCTAGCGAATCATGAAAACCGCAAGCCTCTATCTTTTATTCCTTTGGACTTATTCAAAAAATAACCATCAGTCTTGTATTTTGGCGCCGATAGTAGTTATTCTTATTACTTTTCTTCTTCAAGTACACAAACATTAGGCTAAGAGTTCAATTAAGATACGATACAAACTCCTTTTTTGTACAGTAACAATTCATCAGAGTTTGACGAGTGTTAATAGAAATTTCACGCTCAATAATCCACTTGTATATACTCGAAATTTTTGTATATTGGCGTCTTTAGATATGCCTACCTCTCTTCGATGGTGTAGATTGTGCGATAAAATCGATGTTATATCAAAATCAGGGTATATCATAGTTAAAAGTGAAGCTATAGATAGGAAACTCAAGTGCGATTATATTTATTTGAACAACTCTGAACTAAATGAATCGTTATTACGTAAAGAAGTGCATTTAGAATGTTACAGAAAATGTTACAAACTGCCTTGAAATAGCCGGCCATCATTGTCATTCTGTAGAACACCAAGTATTAATGCTCAATCAAGTACACCGTTGTTCGATTGTACAAATATATCTCCACCAATATTTCAACATTATTCATGTTCAACACCAAAACCTAACACGGAATCGTCCATCACCTTTCAAAGAAATTTAAAGGATAACTTGAGCAATGATTTGCTGTGTAATAGTGAACATGAAGCAACTGAACGTAGAGAAGTTGTTTCACAAAGGGTAGAACTGTCACACACAATGGGCAATCACGTCATATTTAGGTGGAAAAACGAACATGAGATTTTTCGAGATTTGAATAGCAAATCATATACTTTGGCATACGCTCTATGACTTTGCCATTGCAAGTTTTTTCCATTCGCTCTATCCATTCGTAGGAAAAACTTCTGTTTTAGCTTTCCCATGACCGAGAAAATTAGCTTTCTTTTTTTGCTACGTGTTTTCCGAAAATGTGTGCTCAGTGTAATATTATTAATACTCAGTATGTAATAAGTTTTTCCTACGAATGGATAGAGCGAATGGCCTAGTTTTAGACTATGTAAAATTTTAATAAATATCGTCTATTATTTTGTCGCAAAAGGATTTTCTATCTTGACCGCTCTGTTTTCCTAAAATAATTTCATCGTCGATTTTCCCGCTAGAAATGACACCTAGAAAAAAACTTGCAATGGCAAAGTTATAGAGCGTATGCCAAAGTATATGATTTGCTATTCAAATCTCGAAAAATCTCATGTTCGTTTTTTCCACCTAAATATGACGTGATTGCCCATTG